TACATGGACATGATAATTATATTGTAGAAATTGTAAACCATAAAATTTCAATATTGTTTGTAGTTGAGGAGATGGAGAGTGAGGAGGAGGATACCATGGTAACCGTTGCCGGGAGGAAAGTGCCCCTCCATGAAGTGACAGATGAGATGGTGGCCAAAATGACCCCCGAGGAAAAAGAGGATTACATACGACTGGGACAGGAACTCTATCAAAACATGTATGAATGACCTCTTCATTCATGTGGTTTACATGTTTATTGTCCAATCTAAGGAAACGTCTGTTTCCTTGTACTCAACTGAGGCACAAAATGAGAACTGAGCTCTTCACTTTGTGTCGACTATGCCGATGACATTTAATGATCACTTGACCACAGCCTACAGAAATTCACAGAAGAAAGACTCTCTCAATGATGTTTGTTGTACCTATGTTTATGTTATTGTACTTTTCTGTAAAATTCATTATAGGATTAAACGTTCTTTTTTCAGAACGTTTAATTCTTATAATTCCAATTACGAATTTTTAGAAATTATTAAAATTATTTCTCTTTGAGGCCGCCATACAATCCGTTATTTTGTACGGCGTAGGAATACTTTATGCCGCAAAGAAACGTATACAAGATGAATATAGATAAAATCCAACTTTATTTGTCAAAACAATCAATAATTAAACTTATAAAAACTCATTGAATGTTGTTTAAGTCAACAAATATCGTAAATACGCGTATTCTCCAAAATAATTCGTCCTTGACCATGGCCATGTTGACGTCATGACGAAAGTTGAAGACCGACGATGTCCTCGATTTGCTCTGGTTCGTTCAAAGATTTAGGGAGAATATGGGATCTGTAGGATGTAAATATATGAATTTGATGCTGAAAAGGCAAGAGTCTGAGGTACATTTCTTTTCCCTATCACAACGATACCAACTGAGCTGATATGGAACGTCGAGAAAATGACAGCATGATCAGCGATTTAAAAAAATTCACACTCGTAATCCGACAGTGACATAAACATTATATTCCCGTCTGTCAGTCCTGTTTATCTCTTTTCATTCATTCATTTTTTATTATAAGTTTCTTGTAATCATAATTTAGCTAAAACGGACTAGAAGTATCTGTTTTCATTGTTTTTACAACAGTCAAGAAAGTAGTTCTGGTTGAAAAATTCATCGATGTGTAAACTTTTTCTTGAATTTGTTCTCGTCCAATCAAAACACAAGGAATCAATAAATAAAATTAAGATTGGAATTATTGAATCTTATAGAAATTAAAATATTGTACATAACTGTATTTGTAATTGACATAATTCATTAAAATCATTTTGGTTGAACATCTTGTATGTATACAATTAAAATTTATTTAAAAGAAATTTAATTCTTAGTTTCTTAATCCTTCATCAATATGGATGTATGGCTAGATCTGAGAGGTAAAATAAACTTCTTGTCTGATGTACAGGGAATAGCGATAGTTCATGTCTGGTATAAAACACTGATTATTAAAGAATTTCAATTACTTTACACAAGTCAGTTAAGAAAATTTGGGGAGGGGGTTCCCTTTTTTCTTCCCTGTGGGTATCCTCACTCCTGTGGTAATTTTCCGAAAGCATTTACGACTAAGATCAAAAGCTTTAATTGATTGTAACATCTTGCAAAATTAATGATTCTGTTATATATTATTGCATAAAAACATCTTTCTAAAATCTTTTCAAGGATTACCCATTTATTACAATGATTACATTTTAGTCTGTAGTTTTTCCTTTATACCAAAAAGCAAATATGTGGTTGGTGTATTAATATAAAGTGTTCAAGATTCGTTCCCTCAAATTGGCTGCTATTCTGATGGCTTTTTTCAGGTAGTCAAGAGGCGCGGATCCAGGATTTGTTTCCAGGTAGGGTCCACATCAACTCTAACAGATTTCAGACTCTGTCTTACTTATTGCACAATATAGCAAGAATATGCAAGCAAGAGGATTTTTCAAAGGCTTTATTTTCTACAGAAACCGCCAGGTCCCAGGTAGAAAATATTTTATCTGTCAGCCTCCACGTATATAACTGTCAGCCGCCGGAAAGTTATATGGCGGCCGCCATGCAAATAATTATTTGGCGGCCGACAGATAACTTTCAGGCGGCTGCTTGTTATTTATGTGGCGACCAAAAGATAAAATATTTTTATAGACATACACCCAGTGCCCAAGTTGTTAGATTTAGTTTAGTTTCAAACCTGATTTTAATTACTTCTTTTCAGAGTGCAATTTTGATATGATTATATGATGTGAAATTATAAATATTTTCACATTATATATTTTTCCGTTTAAAAAAAAAATGTTTTATAAATCTTTTAAGTCCGTAACCGCGTCCCATACTCAGACCTACCTGCCATAAGCTTTAATAGCTTGAATTAGCTATAGAGCTAGTCAGAGGAGTTTGATAAAGCTAAATGTATTTCATAAGATTTGTAAGAAATAAAGAAAAGGTATTTGACTCATATATGCAATATGGACTATCAAAAAAGCAAGCCAAATCAAAGATAGTTCTAACAATGCAGCTTTTAAAGACTTTTTAGCAAAAGATGTATTTCCGTTGTTTGCATAACTGTACACCACCTTGTGTGCGTGGAGGACGGATAAGTTTTATTGCTTACATTGAGGTGAATTAGTGATTCACAAATATTACCACTCAATTATCTTTTAACCAGAACTGACCCCCTTTTTAATTTCATTCAAGAAGTAACTGTGTGGTCACAAAACAGTTCCTATATATAGCACCAAAACTTTAAGATCTTTGAGTACAAAGCAGTGCTCCCACTGGAGTGAAAACATTTTTCGTTACTTTTCGTGTCACGATTAAAGGAATCCCATTCTGATCATGTTTCATGACATTGTTTGCAAAACTTTAAGATCTTTGAAGCCTGGGTAGGGGGTCGTAGCTGCAACAATTTGGAGCATTATTTTGATTTGTTTTAATCCCAGGAACATTTTCTTTTAAAATACTGTATGTACTTTAAAAATTAATGTAGGAATTATTTCTATATTTATACAATTAATTTGGTATTGTACACTGTATATTAGAGCCTTGACAGGGAAGTCTTGTTATAATAGCAATTATTTGTTGAAGCCTGGGTAGGGGGTCGTGTTACAGACTTAGTAAAGATATATCAGACATTTTTTTTAAAATATAAAAATAATAAATTATGTGAAATTTTGATCATATCAAAAATTTACTGTTTACTTCCATGGCATCCGCCATTTAACTTTCTTGTGGCTACCAGTTATATATACTTAGAGGTCGCCAGATAAAATATTTTTCTACCTGGCACCGGTTTCCGTAGAAAATACAGCCTTTCAAAAAACCCTTTCTTGCATATTCTAGGTGTATTGTGCAACAAGTAAGATAGAAAAGGTTTGCAAATAATTCCGAGATGGTTTTGACAAATAATCCCATGATGGTTTAATTTATACCCTAACTTAACTTAATTAAGTTAACGATGTGCAAGAATAATTCTAGTTGAAAAGGGAGGGTTATTATGGTTTTTTTTTTTTGGGGGGGGGGGGGGGCAAAAAATTTCTGAGTCTGTTAGAGTTGATGTGGACCCTCCCTGGAAAAAAATCCTGGATCCGCGGTTTTTGATTGCCTTAAACAATGACATTCATTTGAGGGAATGAATTTTGAACACTTTATATTAATACACCAAACACATATTTCTCTATTGGTGTAACGGAAAAACTATATATTCATTTTTATTTTCTAATTACCTTACATATTCTGATAAAAGAACGAAATATATCCTTGTATGCTAGGATGTTTTTTGATTTAAGACTTTCTGAAATAGCTTTTAAGTGACCTTCCCTCTTTGTTACAGAGGTAGACCCTTTACATTTTGTTTTAAATTGCTTGTTCTTAAGGACAGATGATACAAACAAATTTTTGTCAAAGAATTTGAAAATAAGAACTTGGGTCATGTTAAGTTAAATAAAATGAATAACTTTCACCGCGTACTTTTTAACTTTTTATTCAAATTTGGAAAAAAATGGAATTTAAAGTGAAAAATATTTGTATAGATTAATAAGGATGGTTTCAGACGGGCAGACTTTTGAACATCACAGAAGGTTTACAATTTCATTATATTCTAGAAATTTATTGTTTGCATCATTTGCAATGAAATAAGTCCAAGAAATATACACCAATCCAGGCATCCATTTTTTGTTTGTATCATCTGTCCTTAATATGAATTTGTATGATTCAGAAATAATTATGCTTTTTAAAGACTGGAATGTAATTATTGAAATAAATCTCTTTTTTATTTACATGACAAGGGCTAATCCTTTAAAAAGAATTAAGGAAGATAATTTTTGTTAATGAATAACAGAATCATTAATTCTGCAAGATGTACTAGTATCAACTATAAAACTTTTTGTCTTCGTCGTAAATTCTTTCGTACAAGTGAAATGGACCACATGAGTAAGGATAGCCACAGAGAGGAAAAAAGAAAAAAACCCTCCCTGAATTTTCCTAACAGACTTCTGACAAGTGTTTAACTTAATTAAAATTCTTTAATAGTCTGAGTTAAATACAAGACTTGAACAATTGCTCTTCCCTGTACATCAGAAAGAAGTTTATTTTAACCCTCAGATCTAGTCATACATCCATATTGATGAATGATAAAGAAACTAAAATTTAAATTTCAGTAAATTCAATTTTAACAGTGTATATACAAGATATTCAACCAAAATGATTTTGATGAAATATGTCAATTACTAATACAGTTATGAACAATATTTTAATTTCTTTAAGATCAAATGAATTTCATAGAATGGTACAATTACATAAACATAGGTACAACAAACACTATTGCAAGAGTCGTTTTTTTCTGTAAATTGCTGTAGTTTGTAATAACGAGATGATAAATCACCATCGGCATTGTCAGCACAAAGTGAAGAGCTAGGTTCTGATTTTGTGTCTCAGTTGAGTACAAGGAAACAGATGTTTCCTAAGATTGGACATAAACATGTAAACCACATGAATGATCAGGTCATTCATACATGTTTTGATAGAGTTCCTCTCCCAGACGTATGTAATCCTTTTTTTCCTCGGGGGTCATTTTGGCCACCATCTCATCTGTCACTTCATGGAGGGGCACTTTCCTCCCGGCAACCGTTACCGTCGTATCTTCCTCCTCACTCTCCATCTCCTCAACTACAAACAACAAGGAAAGCTTGTAGTTTACAGTGATAAAAACTTCTACAAAATTATTTTTATGCACATGTACATACTGTATATAATTTTATGTAATGAAGAAAGAAAGGTTATAGACAGAGCTTCAGGACCGTGCATCGTCGGAAACCCACTGGTGATCTCGTCTTTACTTATCGTGATAAGTATAGAATAGATGATTGATCACCCGTGGGTTTCCGACGATGCAGGGTCATAAAACATGGATTCCAGTCACCAGTCTCACTTAAACAAAAGAAAGATGAGATGTTGCTAACATCTTACCTGTGTTATGAGATGGAATTGTGATCTTACCTGTGTTATGAGATGGAGCTGAGATCTAACCTATGCTATGAGATGGAGCTGAGATTTTACCTGTGTTATGAGACGAAGTTGAGATCTTACCTGTGTTATGAGATGGAGCTGACATCTTACCTGTGTTATGAGATGGAGCTGAGATTTTACCTGTGTTATGAGATGGAGGAGATCTTACCTGTGTTATGAGATGGAACTGAGATCTTACCTGTGTTATGAGATGGAGCTGAGATCTTACCTGTGTTATGAGATGGAGCTGAGATCTTACCTCTGTTATGAGATGGAACTGTGATCTTCCCTGTGCTATGAGATGGAGCTGAGATCTTACCTGTGTTTTGAGATGGAGCTGAGATCTTACCTGTGTTATGAGAAGGATCTGAGATCTTACCTGTGTTATGAGATGGAGCTGAGATTTTACCTGTGTTATGAGATGGAGCTGAGATTTTACCTGTGTTATGAGATGAGCTGAGATGTTACATGTGTTATGAGATGGAGCTGACATCTTACCTGTGTTATGAGATGGCCTACTGAGATTCTACCTGTATTATGTGATACAGCTGAGAACTTAGGTGTTTCTTCCTCTGCCTCACCCTTCTTCTCATGAATGTATAGGAGCGCTTCTATCTCGCTGTTGACCGCTGATCTATTGGATGCTTTCATATGTGCTGGTTTGGATTCCTCATTGACAAAAGAGCTCTGTTTAAATGATATATACATTTTATTTATGCCAACTACCGGTATTTTGCTTTCAGTATATCAGCGTTTCATAAGTCTATAATTGGTACATGTTTCACTAAAGTTCGAATTCTTTTTTGGGGTTGCTTTCATGTAATTTTATTTCTTTACATAAGGCATGTTTTTTTAACCACAAAAATGATCCCAAGAAGAAGCTAGGAGATTTTTAAGAGTTTGTAAAAATAATGATAACATACAAAAAAGTATTTTGTGACATTTCTTTTTCTATGAAAGTTAATTCCAGTTGTAAGTGATAGCCTTTCTTGCCCAACCATCTTCAAGTCTGTGTGCACTGACATAGCCAATTACTATTCTCTGTTACATGTATGGTCAGCTTTATAACATTATATGTATATATTGATCATTATTTCAACGACAGATCATGCACACATCATAACCTCCTTAATTGGATACAATGATGTTTTTCCAACTAAAAGATATTTGGTTTCTACCTTGAGATAAAGATATATAAATATACTCATGTACTATCTTTGTGCAGCAGTTGTTACGAGGGACAAGAATTCAATAACAGAACTGTTTAGTGAGTAATTGTTTACAATGTAACCATGGTGATGTATGTATGCTGACCCTGCTGTCCTCCTGTTCCCCCTCTACTGTACTCTGTGACATCCAGATCGGCACCTCCTTAACCACCTCACTCTTCTTTGTCTCCCCCTCCCCTCCCATGCTGATAGTGACAGTGGCATCAGATCCCAGGTTATAGTTGGTGGATCTATTCTTATCACCACTCCAAACATTCCTATCTGCATTGGATGTCCTTGAAGAATGGGATCTAAAAGGTACATACTCAATTTGAAGCAGTTTAACGAATCAAGATTTATGGTGATGGAGTTTACGTATATATACATACCATTCCATGTTCAACAAAGTCTATAATTATCAATATCATACGGTTTATTTGTGCTTTTTTTGTTTGTTTAGTTTATTATTTCTCATGTACACGTAAAATCAACCCTGTATATACAAACTCTATATTTGATGAGTATCAAAGAAATGATGTACGTTAACCTGTTGTGAACTCTGTTGAGGTCTGTGGGTTCCGGTTCCAGAAGCTCTGGGGCTAATTTGATGTCAAAACACTTCTGTAACAAGTCAAACACTGGCTGTATCTGTTCATTAAATTTGGCCAGTAAAGTCCGCGTTTTCTGGACCGAGGTCGCCCCCGCCACTTCACATTCACAAAACGTACACCGAAACGTGCCACTCATAACATCATTCAACTTATTGACCTCAAGGTCAGTGAAGGTCTTTTCACAAGTGGGACATTTGAAAGATGGCCTACTAGTGTTGTGCATTTCTTCCATTTCGATCTTCCTGCGGATGTGATCGAGTTTGTACTTGACAATGTTGACAAATACTTGGTAATTGATGAAGTAGTATGTCTGGCGGGTAGATTTGTTTTCAGCATCAGTTTCCATTTTCATTCTAAGACTTGTCTTGAGAAACTTTTCTGTTTTTAAGATGTTTATAAGAGCTCGGAGTTGTTTCCTCTCGAATCTGAGAATTTCCACAATGTCGTCCTTTTTCATGCAGGGATTGCGGACTAGAAGGTCGATAATCATGGCGTGCTCTAAACTGTAGAATCCTCTGACCACTAATCTAATCAGCCTCTTCAATGTGGTTGGTACCTCTGTCAAAATTTCTGGCCCATTCATAATGAAAATACATACATTGGTATATTAATGAAACATTGATGTAATGAGTGAGATAAGTGCACCGCCACACATACAATACGCCAGTCAAATTATTTTCAATTATCATAAACAATTTAGAGTGTATGAGGAAGATAATCATGTTAACCTTATAGATTTCAATGATTTTCGATTCCTAATATTTGAAGTGCATCTCCTATAGTGTAGTTATTGAACCGAAGATATTATACATCATTTATTTCTCAACTGGCTGTATAGGACTTTTACAAATGCCCATCTGTAGCTTTGTCAACTATGTTCCTTTGAATGATTAACAATGCTTCTGTATAACATAATAATCCATCAACATTCTAAATAATCATCATATGAATTTTTAGACTGACATCATAGTGAGATGTAACGCTCTGTAAACTGCTGATGAGATATAAACGTAAAAATTAGTATATCATTATATATAAAAATTATACAATATCAAATCAGTTTTAATTGCTTTACATCAAATTTACTTTGAAAGTAATGGTTTGCCAACAAGGACTAGGTAATTTGAAATGAAATATAAATTATAATTACAAGAATGTAGGTCATATTCAGCATCTGAAGCAAGTCTGGTTGTATGCATCCTTAGATGTACCATCCATGCAAGTTTGGCCATCATAGGGCGTATACATGTTGAGGTATCACATAATCTTTCCCAAACTCGTTAAGGTGAGCTTAAAATCATCATACATGTCCAAGAACGAATTCGATGTCGATATCGACGATATCGACAATATTATGTCGATATCGTATCGATATCGATCATGATGAGCACTATTAATTTGAAATACTTGGTACCATAAATGAGACTTTGTGCTATGTCGATGTCGTCGAAATCGACAATACCGTGACGATATCGTATCGATATCGATCCTATTTGTAGAATTTATTTTAACAATGGTTTATGACATAATTTTACAAGGTCACAAGTGATGTCAAATTCATTCATAATTAGCATAAATATGAAATTAAATTATAAGGAAAGGGTTAGTGGTTGTTATTGTTTTGGATTAGGTTTAGAGTAAGATGTTGGATTTAGGTAAAAGTTGTTAAATATGTTTTAACAATCATGATTCGATATCGATACAATATCGTCGATATCGACGGTAGGGTAAACTTATTAATCAGAATGGAAATATGTACAAGCGTTGCATGAAGAAACAGAACTTATTGTCATGGGATATGTTAAAAATAAAGATTTTTGTATTAGGATGAAGGTTGGTGAAGTAATATATTCTAACAATCAAGATTCGATATCGATACGATATCGTTGATATCGACGATATCGATGGCAGGTACAATCTTCGTAAAAGTAAAGTAATTAAATATAAATACACATTCAAAGTAACAGGGACGGTATTCACAAAGAGTTGAGCAAATATGATTCGATATCGAAGCGACATCGTCGATATCGACACTACAGGGAAAGTTTTATAAAAGATATATAGTTTTCAAGTAACACATTTTAATACAATACTAGTTTTGTAGATGGAAACCATAATTCTTTGAACAATCATGATTCGATATCGGCACGATATCGTGGATATTGACAATAAGGAAGACTTCTTAAAACAGAAAGTATTGTAATAAATACAATAGGATAGAGAAATATTATAATAAAATATAAAAAAGTAATGTGTCGATATCGTTTCTACATCGTGTCTTGGACATAACTCAAAATCATAATCCAACCACTAAAACAAAGATTTTTTAGATCACCTGAGTCACTCATGTGACGAATTATTGCTATCCTTTTCTGTCCGACGTCGTTCATCGAGCGTCGTACACTAACATTTGAACATTTTCAGCTTCTTCTCTTCACCAATTTCAACCGATTTTTGGCATATTGCATCTATGGGTAAGGGAAACAAAAATTATGAATTTAACTCTTTACAACTTACTGAATTGTTATGTAACATACGCTTAATGTCCACGTCATAGAAGTAGAAATTTACCATTTCCCCGCAAGCACCCTTTAGCGTGGTACACGTTTCTCTAAAGTTTAGCGTAAATAATATTCTGACGTTATATTTTAATACAAAAATAACTTTTCTTATTTTATGAGATTTTACCAAGTATAAAATAGAAGGAAATTGGCATTAGATTTAAGATTAAATGAACTTTTTAAAGTGCGTGAAAATGCGTGATTGCGGGGAAACGGTATATGCGTGATTTTGCGTTAGAAATAGGAAATGGTATATGCGTTAAAATGCGTGACTGCGGGGAAGGGGGTTAATGGTCCCTGTCCTCCCTGGGGCCTGAGGGGTGGGGCTAAATCTATCAAAATCAATACAATCTATAAAAATCTTCTTTACTCCTAGACATCAAGCACTCAAACTGTTGACATGATTGTAATAAGCATTAAGCCCTCTACCAAAATTGTGAAATACATATATGAATAAATAAGTATTGGGCGAACTACACATAGGGCGACCATACGAACAAGATACTGGGCGAAAAATATTTCGGGCGAACGGACTCTGTGCGAACGGACTCCCGCGAACAGGTAGATCGGGCGAACGAACCCGTTACCGTCGCGCTATGACTTCTGATCCCCAAATAATGAACATATTTCTCTTCAATAGGTTCATCTAAGAAAGATATAATGCAAATGTAAATATAACGAATTGAACCTAGGTATAATTAAATTGTACCTATCTTCAAATCCTTTGTGGATATGTCTGAATTGAACCTATTTTCAAATCATTTGTACCTATCTTTAAATCAATTATACCTATCTTCAAATGAATTAGAGATAGGTATAATTCAATTGACCCTATCTCTAATTGAACAAAGATATGTGTAATTCCATTAACGATGGGTATAATTCATTTGTACCTAGGTATAATTATTTGGAGATAGATATAATTATTTATACCTTTCTTCAATGAAATTGTACCTAGTAGGGTTAAGGTTAGGGTCAGGGTTAAATTCATTTAAGGAACAACTGTACATGTCTTATTTTTCGATTTCATGATGTGATCAATCGATTGGGTCGCGTGATAATTTGCATAAACGCCGAAGGCGTTTATGCATAAAATTATCACGCAAGCCAATCGATTGATCATCGTCATGAAACTGAAAAATCTGACAGTTATTCCTTATATTTACATGCTTTGATTCCACCAATCCACGTGCTCCAAGCCCTGCTTCTGTCTAGCTGTTTGACCCGCCCTGCACGTGGTTCTTTTGGAACCGCGCCAATACATTGATGGGGAAATAAAGTACATTTACAATTCGTAATTTTATCTTCGACAAAGACATTGCAAATGTAAATATTTGAAGATATGTACAATTATTTGAAGATATGTGCAATTATTTGAAGATAAGTACAAATATTTGAATACATGTATATGTTTTGGCGATCCATATAGATTATCCCGATTAGGAACAATTATTAAAGGTTTGAGATTAATTGATTAATTGATTCATTGATTCATTTATTTTATTTATTTATTTATTTATTTAGACAGTCATACATACGGAAGCCCGTTGGTGCCACGTACGAAAAATATTTTATCTGGCGGCCGCCAGATAATTATGTGGCGGCAGCCACTTATTATTTGGCGGCTGCCACTTATATATCTGGCGGCCGCCAAAAATTTTATATGGCGGCCGCCACATAATTTATATGGCGGCCGCTATATATTTATCTGGCGGCCGCTACATAATATCTGGCGGCCGCCAAATATTTAACTGGCGGCCGCTATATAACATCTGGCGACCGCCACATATTTATCTGGCGGCCGCTACATAATACTTGGCGGCCGCCAAATAATTTATCTTGCGGCCGCCAAATATTTATCTGACGGCCGCTACATAATATTTGGCGGCCGCCACATAATTTAACTGGCGGCCGCTACATAATATTTGGCGGCCGCCACATATTTTATCTGGCGTCCGCCAGATAACATATATATATATTTGGCTATTTTGCATAGAGCAGATTAATATTTGATTTGAGAACTAAATAAAGTTTTGCATTCTGGATTTCCAAGAATGGTGTTCCAATATTTAAGAATTAACTTTTTTATCAATAAGCAGCGGCTGTGTCAACATCCATCATATCTTAACCCAATAAAGACACAATAACACTCACATTTCACAAAATAATTTATGTGGCGGCCGCCAAATAATAAGTGGCGACCGCCAAATAAAAAGTGGCGACCGCCAAATAAAAAGTGGCGACCGCCAGATATATAAGTGGCGGCCGCCAGATATATAAGTGGCGACCGCCAAATAATAAGTGGCGGCCGCCAGATATTCAATGGCGGCCGCCATATAAATTATGTGGCGGCCGCCAAATAATAAGTGGCGACCGCCAAATAAAAAGTGGCGACCGCCAGATATATAAGTGGCGGCCGCCAGATATTCAATGGCTGCCGCCATATAAATTATGTGGCGGCCGCCAAATAATAAGTAGCGGCCGCCACTTAATATCTGGCGGCCGCCAGATAAAATATTTTTCGTACGTGGCACCAACGGGCTTCCGTACATACATACAGTAAACGAAATATAAAAATAATATATAGTCACATAGATTTTCTTATATTACATGCATCACGTATGAAGTTACAAATATTTCTTGTAGATTTAACATATGCTGGATTAAATTTGAAATTCATAAGATATTCATGTATTATTAAAAAGTGTACAAAATTCACTTCTTAGTTGTTTATAAAGAGGACATACAAATAAAAAATGATGTTCATCTTCAACGACATTTGACAATGCCGGTATGTATCTTGATTGATAAATTTTAGAATACATTTGATTCATTCAATGGAATACATGTATGTTTAAAGCAAAAGAAATCAAAATATGTTTAGCTTAATGAGACCATGTGGACAGTATATGTTTTTTCTGTCTATGTTTTGAATTGAGTGCACTTGTCAAGTGGTTTCTTTATTTAACCATAGAAACATCGTTGTAATTGGGGTGCTAAGCTCCCAGTACTTTACATGCTTTAA